GGAGTTCATAACCCACTTGAATCAAAGTGTGAAATATGATTTGTCAAGAACTATGTAATGTTTTGAACAACCAACAATAAAAATTTAAAAAAAAGGTAGTTTCTAATAGATACATATTGTTGTTTCATTTCTTGTCCCATTGAATAGTTTTATCTAATTTTCAAATGAGACATTAGTAACCAGGGGCTTTTGTTTCGAATTATTGGCTGCTTGGTTTTTTAGATTCCAATAGCAAGGTTGAGTGAAAAAGGTAAATGGAGGGGGACGCATGTCTCTGTTGGTAAGCACTGGTACATCTCTCTTTATTTAAAAGTCAGTGTTAATCTGATTTCTATTTATCCTTTTTTCCTCCAGAAGAATAAAATTGAATCAAATGAACTTCCGTTAACTTACAGATTTTAAGTTCTTTAAATTTCGTATAGCTCTCCTAAAACATTTAGTTAAAAATCTCTGCTTTTTTGTGGTATTGATATTGTTGACTATATGAATTTCAAGGAATATTCAGGAAGAGAGGTAAAATCTGGCCAATTTATTTACTTATTAGATCTGTTTATATTGGTTAAATTATATTGTAAATTTCAAGTTCTTAAAATTCTTCATCAATCAATACTGAGTGCCACCATAAGATTAGTACTATTCTTGGTACTGGGAATCCAGCATGGAACATACTAAATGAGCCCCACACTAGCTAAATTTTGTTTTGCTTTTTTTCAGTAATAGTTCTTGTCAATCTCCAAGATTCATGGTACCACATGGGACTCTTTCTTTTGAACTCAACAGAAAGACTGGCAGCCAAGCATAATGTGGTATGGCCCAGTATGGACTAATCTACTTACATCTTTTGTCCAGAAGTTGATGCCCGTGCCTCTTCGTCGTTCCTTGGGACGCCTCCTCTCTCGAATGGAGAGCCTGTTAGAGGACTGATCATCCAAATCCACTTCTTCACTTTCTAGCCAGAGATAAAGTAAAGCATGACTCTTAAGAATCTGTAGCAATGTGCACGAGAGAGTGGCTTCCACCTTTTAAAACTCTACATACCATTTTTGTCCATTTCCTTTGCAGCTGTAGTATTCATAGTGATCTCTGAACTCTCAGAATCAGGGATGGAACATCTACTTGTTCGTAGCAGATGAGAACTGGTGTAGAGTGAAGGTCTTGATGCAGAAGGAGACACTGGTTTTGTGGGTTTGTCTGGCTGAGCTGGACACCTCAGACGATGATAGACAGGCTAGAAATAATTCACAGAATGAGCCATGAGAGGTCAAGTCCAGCCAAAGGTTAAAGATAACAGGTTTATTCAAGATGACCTTTTTCATTAAGAGTCTTATTTTAATAGCTGATGCTCAATTAACAATCACTGAGCTGAACTGAATTTAGTTAATTAATCAGAAAACCACAGCTTCTGGATGCTACTTTGAAAAGACCATCATGTTGCTAGCAGTATAGGCAAACTGTTCTTAAAATGACTAAAGGATACTAGACAGTGCTGTGTTAATGAAAATTCTTTTGATCTTGGAGTGAAATAGGAAGCATGATGAGCTTTCTCAAAGAGTGTTGAAAGGCAAAGTTTACAAAGGAAAATAAAAAAGCTCAAGACAAAGGAGCAGAATGTAGGAAGCATCTGAAAACAGAGAATAAATCTGAGCATTCTACTAATTTCTTAATACTCATTAATTTGCCATAATGATGTTTATTGAAACATTAATTTTTTTTAATGGTTCTGGGGATAGAAGTCAGGCCTCAGACATGCTAGCTAGGTAAGTACTCTACCACTGAGTCCAGTCCCCTAAGCTTTTCATAAATTCCCATTTTCCCCTTTGAAATACTTTTTTCTAAGAGTTAAGACAGAACGTGACAATGAGTCTTAAGTTGGCTTATCGAAGATGCATAAATTCTTACAGCATACTGAGTTCACAATATACAGATTTTGTACAATTTTTAATTTAGAAATTATAAAACAAGCCTGGTGTTTGATAATTTAGTTATAAAATTATAATTAAAAACACCTGTAATCCTAGCTACTCGGGAGGCTGAAGCAGGAAGATCCCATGGTCAAGGGCAGACTGAGCAACTTAATAACATACTGTCTGAAAACAAGAGGCTGAGGACATAGCTCAGTGGTACATTTCTTGCCAAGCATGTACAACAAGGCCCTGGGTTCCATCCTTAGGTCAAAAAAGGAAAATAGAGAACAACAAAACAATTATAAAGACAGAAGAAATAAAATAAAGTAAGCTTTGGAGTCAGATGCAAGTTGGTTCAAAGCCTAACTATAGTATTTATTAGCTGTTTGGCCCTGAATAAGTTATTTAACCTCTCTGAGCGTTAGCTTCCTTATCTGTAATACAGGGATAACACCTCAGACAGGATGGTGACATTCAATAAGACAGTAAGTGTTAGGTGCTTAGAATAATATATGGTAATAAGTATTTAATAAATATAATAGCTTATAAAACAAAATACACAACAGAACACCAGTTTATATGGACTCTAGCCGTTCAGAGTTAGAACATGAAAGAGATGATTCCTTTCTCCTACAACTAAACTGACCATAAAATTTATCAATTACAATTTTAAGAGTGAAAGAAGTGGTAATAATAATTGCACAGAGACAACAGTTATAACTAGAACCATCTTAGGTAAACCAGGAGTATGCTTATCCCTAAGTATACTCTTGTACCTGTGACTACCAACTCCACCAGAGAAATGAAACATAAATTAAAATGTCCACCCAACATATATAAAAATGTACACCCAGGAGTGTTCTGTAAGCCCTTACATTTGTAGCAGTTTGGGGAACACATTAGTGGTTAAGAGACCAAGCCGTGGAGTCAGACTGCCTATGTTCAAATCTTGTTTATGCACTCCTCAGTCGCATGAAATGTTAGCTAAGTTACCCAATCTCTGTGACTCGATTTCCTTATAGATAAAATAGGAATAGCAATATCTACCTCAGAGGATTGTTTTGAGGATTAAAAACACATGAAATGCTTAAAGTAGTACCTGGCAAAAATACTTAATAAATGTTTATATTCTTATTTGCATTTTATTATACTGTGGCCTCTCTTTTTGGAATAGGTGGGTATTTATTTAAAAGCATTAGTTAACTGCCAGGAGGAAAAAAATGGTCATTTAAGCAATGACATCCTTTGAATTCTTTCAGTCACATAGGTCTACCAACTAAAGACAGTCATTAAGTGCTCTATTCCTGAGTGGTCCACTGCAAGGTAGAAGAGCATTTGAATGATCAGTAAAGAACAGATTCGCAGAAACCAATTATCCTGCTTTTGTCACAGTACTTGCCAGCAAAATGAGCTCACCTCTTCATCCAGACTCCTGCCCCAGGGTTGCTGGTCTTCCCCAGCTTCCTTTGCTGGGACAGCTGAGGGCTCTTGCTTCTCAGTGCTACCCTCCAGTCCTTCAGTGTCTGCAGGTTTCTCACTAGCCTGTCTCTCTACCCTGGACCGGCTGAAAGTCCTTTCTGCTTCTTGAAGGTCTGTTAGGGTAACACCCTGGGAAAATAGCACAAGATCACGGCAGTTTCACCCTAACAAGGAATAACTCTTGAGTAAGCAGGGAAACTCTCAAAAAGATCTAACGGTTTTCAAATCCCAGACGAAGATCCCAAAATGCATAATGAGGCCATTTCAAGCAATATATGCTTAAAATAAGCATCTCTGTGTGCAAAGAACCCAGGCCTGAATCTAGGTACATTTCAAACGTAATACTTTAGCTTTCCCAATTTGATCCCCAGAAAATAGGTCAACACTGATGTCTGCCTGTTATAGATATATTTCTTCCATACCAAATAGTTCTTGGCATTTTTATGTGAATACTCTCTATTCTCCCAAGATCAAACTGTTAACAAAAGAGATTTTCTGAACAGCAGATGCTGGAAAAACTTAATTTTACTCGTAGAAAGAAAAGCCATATCCAAAAAGATGAAAATTCAGAGTAAAGCTAGAACAACAACAAAAAGAACTCCCAAAAGAAAAAGTAAGCTATTTCTTTAATATTATTTCCAAGTAACTCTAGGAATCATCCAGCGAGGTTCTTCCGACAATTAATGTTTGCCCCTGGGTCACAAAAGCAGCAAGGCAGAAGAAAAGCAAATGATGAGTCACTTGCAGCCAGGACAAAGGAGTTAGGAAGAGAATGTGATGAGTCTAACTGAAGGGGTTACATGCTCAAGTAATCAGAGGAAAAGTGATGTACCAGAGCTGGAAGGTAGTTGATGGACACCAAATGCATAACTTGCTTTTTTTTTTTTAACCATTCATTCACTTATTCACTCATTCTCTTAATAATTGTCTTTAAGCCCTAGAACTATGAAGACAACACCAATTATTTCTGTCAAGAAACTTTTAATCAAACAAAAATGATATAAGAAAATAAATATTAAGAAACACACACACACATACACACACACACACACACACAAAGAAAGAAACACAGTAATACATAACAAGCACACCTAACACTGATTTTGAAAGGTGGGGGGTTAAAAAAGACCATGGGTAGAGGGGAGGCTATGTAGAAATACTGAAACAAAGAGAAGCCATGGATCACTCAGGGTCTGTAGTTAATTAAGCAAAAGACCTTCAAAATTTACTTTCTGAAGTAAATTTTGGAAGCTTGTAACCTGAAATAGGAATGCAAAATGAAAAATAGCATGGCGATTCCTCAAAAAATGAAAAATAGGCTGGGCATGGGTGATGCATGTCTATAATTCCAGGGACTCTGGGGGCTGAGCAGGATCCTAAAGTTGAGGCCAGTCTCACCAACTTAGTGAGATTCTGTCTTAAAATGCAAAAGAGTAAGGGCTGGCAATGTAGCTCTCAGTAGTAGAGTACCCTGGGGTTTAATCCCTAGCGTGTGCCCCCCCCCCCACAAATTAAAATTAAAAGTAGAATGAGCATGTGATTTGGTAAGTTCCATTTCTAAGGATATACATATAAAAGAACAGACAGTAGGGTCTCAAAGTAAAATTTTGTACAGCCATTCTCAGCAGTATTATTCACAACAGCCAAGTATCCATCAATGGATGCATGGATACATAAAATATGGCATATACATGCAATGGAATATTATTTAACCTTAAGAAGGAAGACAATTTTGACATATGCTACAATATAGATAAACCTTGATGACACTGTGCTAAATGAAATAAGCCAGACACAAAAAAGACAAATAATTGCATGATTCCACTTATGTAAGGTTCCTATATTGGACAGAAAGAAGAATGCTGCCTGCCAGGGGTAAGGGAAATACTGTTTAATGGATATAGAGTATCAGTCTGGAAAGTCAAGCAAAGTTCTAGAAATGGATAATGGTAATAGCTATAAAACAACATGAATGCACTTCATATCAATGAACTGTACGCTTAAAAATGGAAAAAGTGGTAAATTTTATGTTATGTATAATTATCGCAATAAAACAAAACAACAAAAAATATAGTCCACCTTGGTTCTCAAGGAGGATACATTCTAATAGGCAAAACAGAGAAATAATCATCAAGCAAAAATAAAAAAGGAAAACCTGACTTACTTTCTGAGGGTCAGAGAAAACAGAAGGATTTTTTTTGCAGCTATGAATAATGTCCCTTTTTCAGTCATCAACTTTACTACTTGACTTCTGCAGCATTTAAAAATGTTCAACTTCTCTTTTTTTGTGCAAACTGATTTTTCATTCATTTCCATGCCATCACTATTTTCTACTTCCCTTTTTACTTCTCTGGATGCTCCCTTTCATTCTGCTTCATGGGCTAATCTTTCTTTCCTCCTTAACTAACTCTGATTCATAGCTTCTTCCTCCATTCTCACTGCCATCACAACCTGAGTTCATGGCCTTGTCATTTTCAGCTTGGACTACTATTAACAGCTTCCTAGCAAATCTTCTAGTTTCCAGGCTTGGCAAACAAACACTGCCTACCACTTCCATTAATTCTCTGCATGGGGATTTTTGTGAAACATAAAGTAGACTCTATCACTCATCCTTAAACTGTTTCAATGGCTCCCTTAAGGGATTTCCCCACCCTTCTTTGTAACGTCTTTACTGAAATATAATTCACATAATGTAAAATTCACCCTTTAAATAATCCCATGGTTTTTAGTTTATTCATTGAGTTGTGCAACTATCACCACTATCTAATTTCAGAACACTTTTCAACATTCCCAAAAAGAAACCCCACACCTATTAACAGTCATTTTCCATTCCTCTTCCCTCTAGCCCCTAGCATTCATCCACTTTCTGTCTCTCTGGATTTGCCCATTTTGGATACATCATATAAATGGAATTATACAACATATGGCACTTTTTGAGTCTGGCCTCTTGAGCTTAATTAGCATAATGTTTTCTCAAAGTTTATTTATGTTGTAGCATGTAACAACAGTACTGCATTACTTTTTAATACCAAATAATATTCCACTGTATGAACATAGAACATTTTGTTTGTTCATTCATTAGCCAATGGACATTTGGTTTGTTTCTACCTTTTGCCTATTATGAATAATGCTGTTATAAACACTTACATATAAGTTTTTATATGGACATTTTTATTTCTTTTACATATGTACGTTAAGAGTAGAACTGCTGGGTTGAATAAACTCTATATTTAACATTTTGAGGAAGTGCTAACTATTTTCCCCTAGGGATTCCTAATGTGATTCTTTTTTAATATAATTATTAATACATATTTATGGGTTTCACTGTGACATTTCCATACACACATATATCTACTCCATGCTTTGTTTATGTCCAACAGCCCTCAACCCTCCCTTCTATAGGGCACAGGGTTCTTAAGACCCCCAAGCACTAGTGGAATGATGAGTCTTGCTCTGAGCCTGAAGGAACAGAGGTATGAGTGAGAGGTACAATGGAGAGTGGGTAGATGGAACTATAAATTCAATTGATTCTCTGTAGTGTAAGATTTAACAGAGTTTTTAATACAGTGGCTGGGATAAAGCATTCACTTTAGTAGTTTTAAAATGTACCTGCAATGGAAAAATAGATAGATGAAATGATATTTAAAAAAAAAAAAAATCACACTCACTTGAGTAGATCTTCGAGTTTGCCGAGCTTGTCTGGAACGTGCTTTCCGTAAAGACTCTGCTTCCTCATCCCGTACCGGAGTCAGATAGGACCTACAGAGAAGCAAGATCTTTGCTGCATGACTTGAGGAATGACAAGGTGCTTCTACACACTGAAGGGATTTCTATGTGCTAAGGTTGAATTAAGGCAAAGTCCAAATGGCAGAAATGCTATTTGCCATCAGTAAAAATCACTGAATTTAAGACATAATTTGTGAATGTGTTATTGTTCAGGCAAAATTGTACCACCTGTAAAAAAAAGATTCTATTTCTTCTTTCCTTAATCCTTTCCTATAAGCCTTCAGAGAGCATATCTTCAGTATTTTGTCAATGAATGTGATGTTTATTGTAAGATTTCTTTAGATACTACTTACTGAATCAGAGTAATTCCTTTCTATTTCTATAGGAAGCAGGCTAATAAATTTTTTTTTATCATTAGGTGGACTAAACTTTATTGAATGCTTTTCTCTCCGATATATTTACATGTTGTTTATTTGTTTCTTTTCTTTCTTTCTTTTTTTTTTTTTTTTTGTGCTGGGGACTAAACTCAGCTCATATGTGCTAGACAAGCATTCTACCACTGAGTTACAACCACGGTCCTTTGTATTTTCTTTTGAGACAGAGTCTCACTAAGTTGCCCAAGCTGGCCGTGAACTTGTGATCCACTTGCCTCAGCCTTTGTTTTACATTTTTATAATTTTCCTTTATTGACTTCTTTGAAGACAGCCAGACTCTCATAGTTGCTTTTGCAGTCAATATATTTTAGTTGAAATATATTAAGACTAACTAGCCTTTCACAGATATACAGTTGCAAAAATGAGGAGTATTGTGATTATTTTTTCAGATAACTGTGGATATTGTTTGATACTATACCAATGTGGAATCCGAAATGTATTAAGAAACTCTTCATATTCTGTTACATTAAGATGCATTGGTCTGGGCTGGAGCTGTGGTAGAGCACTCCCCTAGTACTCCTGAGGTACTGGGTTCAATCGCCAGCACCATGTAAAAAAAGCTAAATATACAAAATAAAGGTATTGTGTCTATCTACAATTTAAAAAAATATTTTAAAAAAAGATGCATTGGTCTACCTTGCGCTTTGGATCTTCTTATCTATACATGATTTTGTAACATTATATCTCCATTAGTCATTTGCAAAATATCAGTGTACCTAGTTATGCATATCTTCCTAATACTGACACATTTATTTATACAATTAAAAAAAGACATTCCTTAATATCACCTTTGACCTTAGAACAATCTACATAATAGGAAGATGTCAGAATTACAGTGACATATACAAGTTTTCTAAAATTCTAATTTTTGCTTAAAAGTTTGAATTTTATGATTAGCAACAAATGCTTAATAGGCTCACTTGGTTCATTTTCAAGAAAATGTCTCCATAACCATAATGCCATCATTAGTCATTATAAAATGGTGTTCCATGAAAAAAGTTAGTTCTCTTCTTCTGAGACTATAATCTTATGTTAGGCCTGACTGGCCACATTTCATGTATCTATTATCTTTTTCTGTATATCTTTTTATTTCTGTAAATTTCATTCTGGATATCTGCTACGGTCTCATTTAATCCTTTCTTTGGCAGGTTTGATGCAAACTAACCAATTGAATTTCCTAATTTCAGTTATTTTTCAGTTTAGAATTTCCACTTGATTCTTTTAATAGATTGCAATCCTCTGGTGAAATCCTCCATCTTATATTTTTTTGAATATATTAATTATAATTATTTTAAAGTCCATGTCTGGTAATATCACTATCTGATCTGGTCCTATTATCTACTTTTTCTTTTGATCTTTTGGTAAATCAGTTTTATTTCCTGGTATAGCTAGTAACTTTTGAATTAACTCCAGATACAATTAATGAAAAAATGTAGTTTTAACTCACAGCACTAGAAGATGTCATCCTTCAGAGCAATTAGGTAAAAGTAGTTCTCAAACTTTGACTTGCCACAGAATCACTTGGAGAGCTAGATTCCACAACCCCAGAAGTTCTGCTTTGGTAGGGTTTAGGATGGGAATCTAAGAATTTGCATTCCTAATTATTTCTCTGCTGATGATGCTCATTTACACTCTGAGAACCACGGGGATGAGGCAAATTTCCTTAATCCACTTTGAGACTAAGCTGACTGGAAGTCAGGCTTCAGTCTTTGCAGGGGGGCTGGTGTATTTTGGAAAAGCTGGATTTTACATTTCCAGAGGTTGCCATCTATATGCTACAAGTCCATCATAAACAAATGATTCGTATCAAAGAAGAGAGTGACTAACTTCTCCTTTGAAGGATGCAGTTGATTTAGTTGAACTAAAACCAGTCAGGTTTTAGTTCAAGTTTTACTTACTGTCTCTAATTGGGAATGGGATATTCATACTATGGAACAATAGAAAGAACAGATAACTGGATTCTACTTCAATTACTAGTTTGCCTTAAAAGACTTAAATCTCTTGGGATTTTGGTTTCTTCATTTATAAAATAAAGGGGTTGGTCTATAGTTTTTAAGGTCCCATTCAGCTTTAAGCCACAGTGAATCCATATTTATGCTGATTCTGGGCAAATGTCCTTGAAAACTTCCAGTTAAAATGCTTACTAATTGGTCTGGCCAAATAAACATTTTCCCTGAGTAAGGAGGGGTGGTTGGTTCAGATGGACACTCTCCCCCATGCCAAATCCACAAACGCTCAAGTCCTATCTATAAAATGGTACAGCACTTGCATATAATCTACAAACATCCTTCCATATACTTTAAATCATGTTAGATTAAATGCAATACCTAATACAATGTAAATGCTATGATAATAGTAGTTATATTGTATTTTTTAGAGAATTTTGACCTGAAAAAAATTATGCATGTTCAGAAGAGATGCAGTTTTTTTTCCTGATTATTTTTTGATTTGCAGTTGGTTGAATCTACCAATTCAGAACCCACTGATACAGAGGGCCTACTATACTAAATTTCCTATATTCCATATGCCATTTCCTTTTGTACTTTCAACAGAACTTTGTGTGACAATGGAAATTTATATATCTGAACAGCCCAATATGGTAGCCACTAGTCACATGTGGTTTCTGAGCACTTAAAATGTGGCTAGTGCAACAAAGAAACTGATTTTTCATTTCATTTCAGTTAAACTTAAATAGCCACACACAACTACTGAATACCACACTGTAAAAAAAAAAAAAAATCTTGAAGTCCTGAAAAATCCAATTAAAAGACATTTATTGTCAGCCCCTTTCTTAAACCTGAAAATCAGATCCAACTCATACAACATAAACTTAACAAAATTTGTCGAGAACACAGTTTATTCACCAGCTAAGTTTAAAAGCAACTGATTTCATTTTCTTGTCAAAGTTCTCACTTTTCTTCTGTTTCCCAGAGGTAATATTACTGTAACCTTACATTTTTTATGTGGTAAGTTTAAGTTTTATGATGTTGTTTTAGGGCTCCCACCTTTAAGATATTTATAGATACAACAAATAGGAACAGGCTCACTGATGCAGCACACTCAGAGTTACTTTTTTGCTAATTGCAAGGTTTGCACTCTGCTGTCTCCACAGGCCTTATCCCATACCACCCTTCTTTCCCTCTTGCCCCTTTTGACACAGAGAGCTCAAAGAAAACAGACTGTTACCTCCTTGCGTAGGCCTGCATGGCAGATGAAGGTCAAGAGATGAGTGGAGACGAAGAGCAAGGAAGGTAAGTGGCTGCTGGGAAAGATTGCAGTCTCAGCACCCGGTCTCCCTTGGAAACTAGAAAAGGCTTGCACTGCCAGTGCTATCCAACAACCCAGAGGCAAAGCCTGTAATTTGCTAAGAAGCTGCTACTAGAAAGGAGGAGGAGAAGGAAGGGGAGGAAAAATGGGGAGGAAGGCAAAATCTTGGGGCTCGGCAGAACCAATGCTGCTAATAGTTCCCAAAATACCATTCCATTAGATGCATATTTTATACAGTGTACCAAACCAATCAATACTACTTCTCATCTGATATACAGGGGAGGGAGAATTATTCCCCATGTAAAAGGAGGTACAGCAAAAGAGCATTCTTGTTCTGGATACTATTTCATCTGCCCTTGGGCTATCCTAGTTGCTGCATTCATCCAAGTGAGCTATAAACATTGCCCCACAGGAGGCTCAGGCCTAGCCAGCTGGCAAATTTAAAGGGTGGTGAAGGGACAGATTAAAAGGAAACACATGAGAGAAATGCAGGGAAAGATTTCAGATCTGCTATAAATGGGTTAAATCTACATAGAGGGAGGCTATAAGAACTACTAAATTTGATAAGCTAGCTACAGATTTCTAGATCTAGTATATGTCACATATCAAAATGTTAACTGATTTTGTGGTCTGGGATAATTGCATTCAAATGCTCGTGTGTCTTTTTGACCTATTTCAACACTGACATCAGAGATGAGGTTTAAGTGAAGAAGAGGACCAGCAGGAGGAGGAGGAGGAGGAAACTTCCTGCAGTTAATCTCAGCATTTCCTGAATTCTGTGAATCAAGAGTTCTCAAAATGAGACAATTTTGACCTCTCTTTCCCCAAAGGTAGCGTTAGGCAGAATTATTTGTCTTGAAATGCCAATAGTACTGAGTTTGCAGGCATTGGGATCAGCACATTTTTTTTTTTCTGTAAAGACCCAGATAATAAATCATTAGGTTTTGCAGACTTTCTAGTGCCAAAGCAGTCCTAGATGATACATAAATCAGTGGATGAGCTGTATACTCACTGCTTGCCATTCTACCCTGGTGGAACTAAAGCCAGATGGCTTGTAAAGCTTCAAATATTTACTATCTAGTCCTTTTCAGATCATTTTGCCGATCCTTGCTCTAGACCCTAAGTTCTAGAGCACCAAACTATGGTTCAGAGAACTCTTTTTGGGAGTCTGGTGTTTCTGTGATGTATCTTAGATAAATTCTATATCATCTTGATTCTTTTCCTTTGGAATATTGATTGATTCCATTAGAAACATGCCAGCCTCAAGTGCCAAAGCCACTTTCACAAAAACAATCTTTTACTTATGTAGGTCACTTTACAATTAATTCACTG